ATTCATTTCTCTAGAGTTATATAAAAAAATTACAGAAGTCCTCGTGTTATTGATCGAGGGACTTCAGCGCATTTTTGTGTTAGCGATCAGTATTTGATTATCTAATTATTTTGCGTTCATTTACAGATCATTAGAAGTTTAGAAGATCATCAATTTTAGTGTAATTAACAAATAATTACAATGAACTTCCATAAAGAAAGGGTTTATCATTTAACGGTTTTTGGAATTCAAATTTTTACCGATTAAAAAAAATTCGAATTTTTGAAAGCACCCTGATTACAATTTTTACAACGGTAGAAAATAATTCAAGTTTCTAAACGCATCGATCACGTGTTTTCCATATGAAATAAAAAAATCATTAATTAAAGTATAAATACACTGTTTTAAGACTTTTAACTGTTCGGCCGGCCAATAACTCGATAGAACTGAGCTAATAACACAAACCCGAGCTCTCTACGATGTCTGGTTAAAAAGTTTTTCTTGCCCCGAGCAGCCGAATAAAGCGTATTATTAAGCTACCTTTTCGAAACAAGTTTCAAAAATGCGTTACAAATCTCAAAAGTAACACCTCCCTTTTTTAAATTCCCGGATACGCCACTGATTCTCAAATAACTTATACCTATAGCATAAGAAAACATGGAGAAACTTTTACGTTCAAGAAAAAACTTTTCATCTTAGAAATTTGCAATAGAAAATTTTCCAAACAATTTATTATACATGTAATTTAGCATCCATATTCATGGAAAAGTTTCTCATTTTCTTTTTACCCTTTCCGTTCGTATTCATTTTTGCTGCAACTATCAAATTGGTTTATGAACTGAAAAGAACTTTCAGTTTTCTTTTTCAAACATAAAATTTAAATACACACAACATGGGAAATTCCATTTGCCATTGAACAAATCTAGGATACCCTTTACTCAAAAGTTTCATAATTATTTATTAAGTTCTAGTTAAAACTAGTAAAACCATTAAACTAATGACTATGATTAAGCCTTCCCGATTCCCGAGACCGAAACCAAAAATTTAAACTCTTGTATTCATTATGAGGCAAAATTTAAAACAAAACGGGACAGATCAATTAATATTTAGCCTTCACTTTTGTGAATTATTTATTAGGAATCGTTCACTTATTACGATTGCATTTTAGGGGGATCGGGATGAGGGGGGAAAGGATTTCATAAAATTTAACCTTCCTTTTCATTTTTTATTTTTCCTTTGATTGAGATTTACTTTCAGTTAACTGCGGTCGATGTGTGCCTAAAGTATGGCCGAGACTCCCCTAGACAAACTTCAAAAGTTATACCTGATTTATGTTAGACTTATTTCACTTACAAAATTATGGATTATCTTCGGATTGAAAAAGTGGATAATCCGATCGGTGGATAATCCACCTTAGTCAAACAGGCCGACTAAGTTTGTCGTCCTCAAATCTAAACTGTTATACTATTTTAAACATCATTGACAGAAAACTTAAACAGAAAAATTTCATGCGTAATTTTTTTTCATGCCCGGTGAAATCTTACGTAAAAATGTTTCTTACGTGATGAAATTTTACTTAATAATGTACATAAATGAAAAAAAAAATCATAATGTTTTCCATAATCAAAAATAATGATATTTTTCATAATTTTTCTTTCATTCATTTTAGTCCCTGCTAACCTCCTTCGATTGAGAACACGAATGCATCATTGAAAATATACACCGATTGCACACTTGATGAGGTACATTGAATAAAAGAAAATTATCTTCAATTTGTTTTCATTCATCTGCATTTTTTCATGAATTCAATGTAAAAATATCAATATCGATAGAAATATAATATGAATTAAGTCTATCAAATTAAATTTTATTAACGCCTGTATTGAAAATAAATTGAATTTGAATTGACGTGGAAATAGTCGACTAAATCCCGATTAATAGATTTTTTTCTTTCCTTGGCATTATTTATTTCCTTCTTATATTCAAGCTAAGCAATTTGTGTGATAGTGATAGAAAAAAAAAAATTATACAATCTTGTCATCATATCGCCTCATTAATGTCACAAATAGAAAGAAAAATGTAAGTAAGATCAATAATTTTACTTTATTTCTTTGAAAAGACGTACATAATCCCTCATCTACTTATGAATTTACCAATCTTCCTAATACCAACGAACTTTATTAATTAAATTACAAAAGAAATAATGATTTTCTCCGAGAATTCCTTGAGGGATTATTATCTCATTTATGTGTCTTTCCTCATTATATGCTTAGTTCGAAATCAAAATTGAATATGACACAAATTTGATATTTATTGTTTTATACAGCCCAAATATGACCAATTTTTCAATTCATGTGTATTGAAAACAAATTTGACTTAAAAGTGTGTCGACAACCAAAAAAGTTTGAAATTCATGAATTAGGCAATTAACTCAGGAAAAAAGAACTCAGAATTGAAGTCTAGAGAAACGAAAATCATAATGTTGTCTTCTTTTTGACTCAAAAATGCTTAGTTAAAGAATGGAGATAATTTTAAAATTCAGTTGTGATAAAGTTGACAGTGAAACGCTATTCAATGTGGAAAAACCAGAGGTTAACCTTTACTCATACTCAATACTCAATACTCGAGTTACTCAATGTTTTTTTTTAAAAAAAAAACTCGGTACTTGAGTGGGAGTTGTACGACTGCCCCAAATCAATTGCCCACGATTAACTGCCCCATGATAATTGCCCCAACAAATCACTTGCCCCACAAGTAAGAGCCCTAAATTTACGTGCCCCACTGTATCAAATGCCCCAAATTTTATTTTATTTAAAATACGCTGAAGTCCCTTGATCAATAACACGAGGACTTCTGTAATTTTTTAATTTTATGTCACACAACAACCATGTTTTAGGCCTAAATCGATTGGAAGAAAAAATGTCAATTAGCAATCATTATATCGCTTTTTCTAAAGATAATAAAATCAAGCAGGTTTTTCTCGCCAGTTCATTGGAATGCTTTTAACAAAAAGGTAAAATTTAATTATTATAATTTTTTATTCCATCAATTTTTGTCAAGATGGATTTTTACCCAATTAAGTTTTTTTATATTGCACCATTTTCAAAATCAACATGTTGTTTGTACAATAAAGCTTGCATTGGCTATATTCCAACAAACGAGAAAAATTAGGAAAAAAATAAATTTGAAAAGTCTTGTGAGAAGAACGTATATTTACAAAATATTATATTCACAACAAATTTTCAATTTGGTTACAGAATAAACCAACTTAAAAATACCTATTTAACGGTATAGACCGTTTCTCATTTGGTGACATGACCAGACTAGACTTGAGTATGCTTATAACCCGAATAGATAAAGAGCGCGCTCACTTTTGTGAGCACATTGTGCTTGTGAATATGCTCAAAAAAAACAAATTTTTTGAATTTTTTTTTTTATTGAGCATGCTCGAGAGCATACTCAATTCTTAAATCTAAGCATGCTCACCTGAGTACACTCTTAAGCATAATCGTGAGCACATTGTGAATGTACTCTAAAAAAATATTTTTTTTAAGATTTCACATTTTATTGAGCGTGTTCAAGACACATTTTACTGAGCGTGCTCAAGAGCACATATATTGAGCATACTCAAATGTCACATCATATGACATAAAAAATGTTGCATGTCATACAACAATTTGAGCATGCTTAAAATTTGTTAAAATAACGTGCTCAGAGCATGCTCAAAGAGCGTGCTCTCATTAGCTTAGAGTAGTGGCATCACTTTTCGTATGTGAGCGCACGCGAGCATGCTCAGCACTAAATTTGAGCGCTTTCATAGCGTGCTCTTTGTCTATTCGGGTAAGCACACAACAAGGAGCATGCTCAGCTGAGTACATCTTTGAGTATACTTATGATACTGCTCATGACACATTTGTTGAGCATATTCTGAGTATACTCATGTGAAGTTTTTTAATGATCATAAATTCAAATCCTTAAATTGACTCGGATTTACTAAGAGATTTGCTCAGATTTTAATCTGAACATTAAATAACTCTGTTATGTATCTCGAAACCATGTGCATAACGAGAAAGGAATTTGTGGATAAATCTTCCACCCCTTTGCCAGAAAATTGTTGTATTTGCTAGAAATTTTAGCGAAAAATTCTGTTTTAATTTCTGTTTTAAATAAATTTCTTTTAAAGAAAAAAAATTAAAATTCTTTCGTGATCATGCTCACAATGTGCTCAAAAATACGCTGACAAGCCAAAATTCTTATACTTGACAAGCCAAAGTTTAAAGAATTTTACACTTTTATCTGTTTTCAACTACAAAAATTGTTTAAAAACATTGGTTTATTTATAGCAGAGATCGAAGCCGATTTTTTCGGCTTAACTCAACTTTTGATTTTTTTGATAGAAAAAAGCTATTTAACACGCATTTCAAGTATTTATATTGGACTTTACATGCTTTACTATGATTTTGTGTAATATTTTGTCAGCATGTAGCTATAGTAAGCTCAGAATTTCAAGTTAAACGATTTTAAGCCGAAATTTAAGCCGATCGGCTTATCATCGACTAAATTGAAATTCTGAGCTTACTATAGCTTCATGCTGACAAAATATTACACAGAATCATAGTAAAGCATGTAAAGTTCAATTTAAATACTCTAAATCGTAGTTAAATGGCTCTTTTCTATCAAAAAAATCAAAAATTGAGTTAAGCCGAAATAATCGGCTTCGATCTCTGATTTATAGGTTTTCGCCATAATAAACTATAAAGGTAATGTTTTTACAATACATGTTACATGTTTTTACAATACGTGAATACGGTGTGGATATAAAAAGAAAATATTTACATGTTGTGTATATAATAGCAAATATTATTATAAAAAAAATTATACCTATAAGAAAAATAAAAATTCGGTGTGTAGGTTATCAAATATATTCGAGTTCTTATCTTAGTTTACTTTTCACAATATATTATTTAGATTAATGAATGCATGATTTTAAATTTATACTTACACTTCGCATGAAGCTAATAGTGTAATATAAGCTTTTAATAAATAAACATGGGATTTTTCGAAATAATTGGATTTGCTGTCATTTTGTATTATACAGTTCAAGTAATGCTATGGATAATACTTGACTGTGACATTATGTTGTACTTTAAGACACAATGGGGAAAGCCTATAAGTTAGTTAATAAGAGATAATTCAATTAACTTCATTATCATATTATTAACAAAATATTTATTTTAGCTATATTAAAAGGCAAGGTTGTGTGGATTACAGGAGCAAGTTCGGGAATTGGTAGAGAACTTGCTAAACAATTATCTAAAAATGGAATTCGACTAGTATTAAGTGGAAGAAATATTAAAGATTTAGAAGCAGCAAAAGTCGAATGCATGAATTTCTCCAAAGGTCAATTAAAATCAAAAGACATTCTAATCCTTCCGTTCGATATGCTCGATCTGGATTTTCATCATGAGGCATTTAAACGAGTAATAACTCACTTTGGAGATTTTCATATTTTAGTCAATAATGCTGGAAGATCACAAAGAGCAGAATGGAATAAAATTGACATGAATGTTGATCGAGAATTATTTGAGCTAGATGTATTCTCAGTGGTTCATTTATCTCGAATCGCTGTTACATACTTTGAAACGAACAATATTAAAGGACAGTTGGCTGTAACAAGCTCAGTAGCTGGATTGTTTGGCGTACCCAATTCTGCTTCTTATACTGGTGCCAAACATGCTTTACATGTATGATTTTTTTAAACACATACTAGCAAAATGTTGATAATAGTCAATTATTATTATCATTTTATTTTAAATTATAGGGATATTTTGAAGCACTAAGAACAGAAAAGAGAATTATCAAAGTCAATCTCTTTTGTCCAGGTCCAACTTTTTCTAATTTTCTCCAAGAATCTTTTGTAGAAACACAAGGAGACAAATATAATCAGCGTGTTAGTAGCACAGATCGCCGAATGTCAACAGAAAGATGTGCATATTTATTTGCAGTGGCTCTAGCAAACAATATTAATTTATCATGGTCTGGAATTTTCCCGATTAATATGATTCTTTATGTTGGATTATACTATCCAAACATAGCAAATATGTGAGACAACTTAATAGATTTGTATTTACATATTTTTCTCATTTTTTAATTTTTTTTTTCAGATTAATGTCAATGGGAGTGTCAAAATTATTTGGAAAAGTTCGAGACTCACGTTAACTCGTTAAATGTTTTAGAAATAATTAGCTTTTAAAATTAAAACAATATAAAAGCACAAGAAACATATTTTTTAATCTAAAATTTCTTGTGCGTTAAAAAATTTAAAGGAGAGCATTCCTTTTAACAAGTTACTTCATACAAGTTTGTTAAATATTTTCAGTGATGTCAAATGAAAAAAAAAATTCTTATGTAAGCAAATTACGTTGTCAGTCTTTATTCCCACGTGGATTAATGTCTAAATGAATATATAAAATTTTTGCGCTGAATATATTTATTCTTTCTTGTTTCGCTGAAAATATGCTTTATAAGATATTATTGTTCCATTTTTTTTATAAACGCTGATCGCAAAGTTATAGCAAAGAGGTTAGAATGATTACGACAACAAAAGGTTGAAGAAACATTGCACACATACTTTGTAAATTAGTGAGCTCATAATATGAGGTATGCATGTATATAAAACATTTGGAAGCGCAGGGAATGAAGAAAAAATTGTGTCGATGCTCAACAATTTCTAGACATTATATATGCATGTCTGTATACATGGTTTATGTTTGGATATAAGAAAAGATTACATCCACTTATGTGAATACATGTACATTGTGCATATGCTAAAATATCGTACTAGTAAGGAGTGACTTTCATGAATGCATAAATCATTAATTAGCTTCTGCTATTTTGAAATATGCTCAGCAACACAACCAAACGGCAACAGAAATATGCTACAACAGAAAACATAGGAAGAAGTAAAGCAGTTTAGAGGTGAATTAATAATCTAATTATGCAAATTAATTCCACAAATGCATGAATTGCTACATCCTATTCTCATTCATATAAGTCTATATACAGGTATGCTGTGATTCAACTTTCATGCGTAAAATTTTATTTACAAAAAAATTTGCAGTCCAAATTGAATTGATCAATGAATTTGTCATTTCAAATATTGTCAATGCGTCAAGGAACAAATGTACATGCATTGTCAATAAATGCAAATCTCTCTTTATGCAACCAGCATATTGTTGCATGACAAAAGTTAAAATAAATTTTGAATGCAAAATATATTGTTTTGTATTTCAACGAGTTAATTAGTAATATCACTTAATCTTTAGTAATTTACAATTTATCCATAACATCATATTTCACACTCAACACACTTCGGTAAGTCAAAAAATATATTCCATTCAATTTCAACGGTTTTTTGAATCAATTTTTTTTCCATGTGTTCCTAATTTTTTAACCCAAATCTGTGATTAATGAGTTTTAAATGATGTTTATAATTTACATAATATTTTGTGATGTGAACAAACGAGGTGAAAATTTGAATTTTGAAGGTTTCGAAAAATGTTTCTCAGAAACATACTTAATTCAACTGTTTTAAACATGATTTCGTGATTTTAAAAGCTTACGATTAAAAAGAATTGAAAAACAAGCAAATATATTTTGTATTTTGTAAAAGAGTTTTCACAAAGTTATGAAAATTTTTCTGAAAAATTCAAAAAAGGTGGTATTTTTTAAGTGTCGACAATGATTTGTTTTTTTTTCATCTTCATAATATTATATGCACATAAAAATGCTCATTTTTAGGAACTCTGAAATATAAAATATTGACATAATTAAATAAATATCGAGGAGAAGAGACAAATGAATAAAATTTCTGATTTCTGAAAAAAATAAATAAATAGTTTTCAAAACGATCAAGCCCAATAATAATAATAATATTTTTTTTTTATATTCTATGACTATATTAACTGATATTAACTTGGAAAAGAAGCTCCTGAAAATTTTAAGAACTCACCAAAAAAAAAGTTACAAAAAAAGTTGTTCAAAATTTTGTTATAGAATATCACTATGGGACAAAAGACTGTTTTAAACGTCTTCCATAACCATGGTTACGCTCCTATATGAATTTTGATGCACTTATTAGCTTTAACTCTTTTCAGAATCAATTTTTTTGCATTTTGTTTTTAATTATTGACTAAAATCAAGACCTTTAAAATGATGTAAAACACTTGCATGAAAATTTATTAAAGTTGCTCCTAGAGTTAAATGAATATGACTGACGCAAGCCGAACTTAAACAAAAAATCGCAATTTGTCAACTAAAGAATATAATAATCTTTCTTTATTTCAAATTTGGAATTATTGTAGTTTAAGTTACATTTCTTTGAGTCTTATTTTGACACCAGCCTGAATATGGCTTTAATTAAACTATATCTTGATTAATTATTAATTTTGATGAATGAGATTTACATATATCGCATATATCATGAAAATGTGGCATAAAAAGTTTAAAAAAATTGCCGATAAAGGATATAAAAATGATTAATATTAAAAAAAATTGTTATATGTATGCTTTAATATGATAACTCAATAAAGTTTAGTCTATAAAATAGTCTGATACTAGATGTATTTTAATGTTTATGCTTGCGAAAGAGTCCAAAAAAAATTTTAAATGAACCTTTTTTTCGATTTTGCCTCAAAGGAGAATATGCTAAATGAACTGTGTCTTATCTTGACTGAATGAAGAATGTCAATGTCCATCAAACAAATGATTCTAAACGTTGTTATGTCCACGATTATGCTGTGTATTTTAACTAATTGGATAATTTTTAACTGAGTTATTTATTTATAAACACACTGAGAGGATAGAATTTTTTTTTGAACCGAGATGTTATAATGAAAGTAGATATTTTCAAGTAGATCAATTTTCAAATATTGGGTAACCGTTAAAAATGAGAGCTTCCATATGTTAAGAGTATTTAAGAGATTTCTTCAAGGCAATTTATTGCACTGAAACTCTTTTTAATTAAGATGTTTAATGAGAATTTGTACAACTTTTTTATTATTTATGATATTTATGTAATTATTTATTTATTTATTGATATACAATTCTCTCCATACTCTAAAGGTTTTTTAGGCCCTTTTAAATAATTTAAGTAATATTTAAGGGGGCTTTTTCCTTTGTAAAGAGTGAAAGCAATAATACTAATAAAATAATAATAATAATAATAACTGTGTTGAAATTAAAGCATAAAGTAAACACAAAATATAAGTTGAAGAAAAAGTTGTGTTTGTAACAGTTGTCATTGTCACCTTTGTTGTGTTTCGTTTCTATTGTGACAAAAGTACTATGGCAAAAATTCTTTCTCATAAATGTAATGATTATCATGTCTGTAAGAAGCTTTATTTAAAATGAAACAAAAGAAATTTCAAGCAAACAACATGTATCTTATTTGTGTATGGATTGACAATAGCAAAGGAAACTATTTTCTTTGTAATTTTTTGTACATTTAATAAGGATAGTCAACACTAGTTAACTTAAAAAGTTCAAATCTTTTGAAAAGTTAATTGAAAAGTAGTTTGTTTTTAATTAAAGCGTTCGCTCTTTTTAATTTTTCCATAGCGATTTTATATATATATATATATATATATCTATACTGACATATGGGCGATTCTTCGGATGAGTTTTTTTTAGAAGACAATAATTTAAGAGAAAAATCCAGAGATCGAAGCCGATTTTTTCGGCTTAACTCAATTTTTGATTTTTTTGATAGAAAAAAGCCATTTAACACCCATTTTAAGTATTTAAATTGAACTTTACATGCTTTACTATGATTCTGTGAAATATTTTTTCAGCATGTAGCTATAGTGAGCTCAGAATTTCAAGTTAAAGAATGTTAAGCCGAAATTTAAGCCGATCGGCTTAAAATCGGCTAAATTGAAATTCAGAGCTTACTATAGCTACATGCTGAAAAAATATTTCACAGAATCATAGTAAAGCATGTAAAGTTCAATTTAAATACTTAAAATGGTAGTTAAATGGCTCTTTTCTATCTAAAAAATCAAAAATTGAGTTAAGCCGAAAAAATCGGCTTCGATCTCTGGAAAAATCAATTCTTTGGTTCAAAATTATGTTCTCCAGTAATTTTATGAAACTTTTTTAGCGCATTTTTGAAACTTGTTTCAAAAAGGTAGCTTAATAACGCACTTTGGTCGGCTGGTCGGCTGGTCGGCTGGCTGGTCGGCCGCTAAGAAAAACTTTTAATCTAGACATCGTAGAGAGTTCTAGTTTTTTGCATTAGTTCCGTTATATCGAGTTATTGGCCCGCCGGACATTTAAAAATCTTAAAACAGTGTATTTATGCTATAATTAATGAATTTTTGTTTTGTTTTCAGTGTAACCTGCTCAAATTTTATTTTACCTCTATAATTTCAATATTACCTCTATAATTTCAAAAAATTTCTAGCCGTTGTAAAATTTGAATTTCAAAAAACCGTTAAATGATAAACTTTTTTTGTATGGAAATTCATTGGAACAAATTATTTAATTATACTATAATTAATTTTTTCGTAGTGCAACTTATAGCGGGAAAATTTCAAACTATTTATTGACCGTTAGAAAATTTGAATTACAAAAAAATGTTAAATGATAAACCCTTTCTGTATGAAAATTCATTGCAACAAATTATTTAATTATACTATAATTAATTTTTTCGTAGTGCAACTTATAGCGGGAAAATTTCAAATTATTATTATATTGACCGTTAGAAAATTTGAATTACAAGAAACCGTTAAATGATAAACTCTTTCTGTATGGAAATTCATTGCAACAAATTGTTTAATTATACTATAATTAATTTTTTCGTAGTGCAACTTTTAACGGCAAAATTTCAAATTATTTACTGACCGTTAGAAAATTTGAATTACAAAAAATCGTTAAATGATAAATCCTTTCTGTATGGAAATTCATTGCAACAAATTATTTAATTATACTATAATTAATTTTTTCGTAGTGCAACTTATAGCGGGAAAATTTCAAATTATTATTATATTGACCGTTAGAAAATTTGAATTACAAAAAACCGTTAAATGATAAACCCTTTCTGTATGGAAATTCATTGCAACAAATTGTTTAATTATACTATAATTAATTTTTTCGTAGTGCAACTTTTAACGGCAAAATTTCAAATTATTTACTGACCGTTAGAAAATTTGAATTACAAAAAATCGTTAAATGATAAATCCTTTCTGTATGGAAATTCATTGCAACAAATTATTTAAT